GATGTGCCGATGGTGCTCAAATGTTTCTCCAAACTAAAGCAGGGTTGTGTGGCAACGGGCTGCATGCAGATGTCTGGGGTTCAACTCCCCTGGCGCCTGCAGGGTTAATTTTGAGCACTGATGCAAGGCTCGCCATTCGGAGGCAACGCTGCCGCTCTGATCTTTGCGGAGCTGCGTCCCGGGGCTTCTATCAGGGATTGACCGGATTGGAGGGTGTTAACAAGTTCACAGCAGTCAAAGCCTCACTCAAGAGGCCAGTGTTAAAAGACATGACTCTTGTGAGTGATGAGTCACTTTGAGTAAGCCTACTGTACTGAAGCAAGGTACGTGGCACTGATGACCCTACCGCCTAAACCCCAATTCACATCATCCTCTTCGTCCTCTAACAGACTTTTCTCAGCCTTCCTCCTGTCATTAATGACATCCTGTGGAGGATTTCGACCTGGTGTTTCTTTTGGCTCAGTGGTGTAAGAAGAGGACCTGACTTAGCAGCTGTGGACATGTATGGTATCCTTGTAAACTGAATTGTATTCTATTTTAAAGCTATGTATTGTACCACTTGATTGAGTGGGTGTACACAGAAAGGATCGACAGCTTGATTGAGTGGGTGTACACAGAAAGGTTCGACAGTTCGTCTTCAAATCCACCTCTAACTTAAACACCAGGAAGAGCTCACCCCCGTTGCTCCTGGGGGACATTGACTGGATCAATTGATCAATTTCTCAAAATCTGCCAATGTACAAATTCATTTATTATTATTATTATTATTATTATTATTATTATTATTTAGAGCCTCCAGGGTAAAAACAGTCAACAATCACTGCTTTATCAACCTCACAGAATGACAACAGACTCTATGAATTAGTTCATTAAAAAATAATTTTCTTTAATTATCCGACTTTTACGGTGGTGACAACAGGAGTTTCACTCGCTACAACGTCCCCACTGTTAGAAACACCATGACCTGTGTAGCATCTATATTTAGTCCTGCAACCACAGTGTGATGTCACATCTTCTTCTGCACATGCAGATCAGTCTAGCGCCACAGACTGTTCACACTGGAGTCCGAGTTGCATTTAAACTATGTCAGCGACTGTAATTAGAACCGTCAGTCCAGGTATGATTTACATATAGTGCCCAATCGTGTGTCCTGTCTCTGTTTCTTAGCCTGTTTTCCTCTAAATGAGATCGAACTGCCAAAACTGTCAATACATGTGTTTTCTACCATTTAAACCTATTCAGGGTCTCAGAGGGGGCTGGGGTCAGTACCAGCAATAATTAGGCAAGGACACAGGGTACAACCCTGGGTGGTTCACCAGTCCATCACATGACCACATATATAAACAGACAACCTTTTTATCTGCACTTACTTTTCAGATATAAAAACAAACCACTTTGCCGTTACACACACACCAAATACAGTATGAAGTGTCCATATAAACAGAGGTCAAAGAATTACTCACACTCTTGATTTATTCTGGCTGCTAACCTTCTGCTTTCCCTTGTTCTTGCACCGTGTTGGCAGCAACATTACACAGGCTTATTTTTAGCAGGTTGACTCGCAGAGAATCGTCGCCGTCGTGTTGTTTCACTTGCAATGGAGCAACTGTTGAAGTCGCACTCAGAGCCTCGTTAGTGTGTGTGCATGCTCGCCTCCGTGTGTGTTAGAATGGAGAAACGCCACTTAGCAGTATGTGAAGTGGTCCCACAGACACATGTGTGTGTTTGCATCAGGCTTGTAAACAAACAGTCTTCAGATGATTAGACGTGACATTTGACGCACGGTCACTTTTAGCCAGTGACCAGTCAGTGTTCTGACTCTCGGCCAGAAACATTTGAAGTCGCGAGGCACATGGCCAGTGACTGTTCTCCAGGCAGGATGTTATGATACTGGTGCCATCTGAAGGGAGAGGAGAGGGGAGGGGAGGGGCTGCTCTAATATAGACGTGCAGTTTATTATTATGTGAATATGTAACGTTGTTGTTGGGGAGGAATTGTGGCCAATATGGACCTCGATATCACATGCACAGTGTTCTTCCTTTTATGACCAATGATTTTAGAGGAGTTCAAACAACCAGTAATAAAACTCCATATGTGTGTGATGTTGCACCAGCTTCAGGGCTGGATGCTGAGATTGGTACTGGTACTGAGAGGATGCAGACTTTGGCTGTGACTGGCTACGGTGGTTGTAAATAACTGGCCTAAGGACACTGTGGCGTCAAGCCTAGGCCTATGTCGGTTTTCATAGTTGGTCATAATTGACCAAATTGTCCAATGAAGTTTGCCAGTTGCCCATTGCCTTACCTACCATTTCATCTACAAAATGTTGGTTTATTTCCCACTACCATGTAGTTTCACAAAGAATATCCAACTAAAGCATCATAAAATTGTTTCCATATACAGTTGAAACCTGGGAGACAGGGAGAGGGAGGACTGTTCTGAGAGCAGGGCAGATAAGGACAGGCCTCACACAGCTATAACTGTCTGATAGGTGGATAAATATAGAAGAGAAAGACACTGGATTGTACATTAGTGTCTCATGTACATCAGCGATGGCCACACTCAGCCCAGTCCATTATGAACCTGGGGAGGTCCCTCTCACCCCCCTCTGCCCCTCCCCTCCCCACTTCACCCTCCCTCTGTTGTTGCTTTAAGGCCATGGTGATTTTGAACAACTGTTTTTTTGTCTGTTTATTTTGAGCACTTGGTTCTAAATTAAGAGCTGACTGTACTGACAGCTGTCACCCGAGCGAGGTGCGTGTTCAATAGTGGAAATGACTCAAATTAGTGGTGAGGGGGTGGATCTCTCCCTCCCACTCCCTCCCTCATCCTCAGCCTCTCTCTGCCATGTCATCCTGACACACAGGGTGGAGTGATCAATGTACTACAAAAAGAAGCAGCAATGTCCATCAGTACTTTTTTTTTCTCGATGAAAGGATCCTAGGTGTGAGGTTGACCCTGTGATTGATGGGTGACTTTTTTTTTCTCGATGAAAGGATCCTAGATGTGAGGTTGACCCTGTGATTGACGGGTGACTGAGTGTTCAAGTTGTCATGTTTTCAGCAACCATGGTTAAATGCTTCAATCTCTGGTGCCTTTCACATACAAAGTTAATGATTTCATACTACTTTTTTTTCTTCAGAAGATGAAGATGTCACCTCTGTCCTCAGAGACAGGTCTCATATTGACGAGACATTACGCCTTGCAAGTGAACAAAAAGCCAAAGACTATGCAGGTGAGAATCACAGAAGATTGATGCTGCTGAATTCCCTTTGACTCACACACTTTCTTTTACTCTGACTAACACAGTAGAAGAAATTATCATGTAAATGTAAAAAGGATGACAAGGGAGAAACACACCTTTTCTTAGGATGTTATAATATTTGAATGTAGAACTGCAAAGTGCACTTTAAAAGTACATTTCCCCTTCGAACATGTATCACGTTGACTTATTTGATTTCTGATTTCTCCAGCGGCTCTGGAGAGGTTGCGGAAGATCTATCACACATCCATCAGGCCCATGGAGCAGGCCTACAAGTACAACGAGCTGAGGCAGCATGAAATCTCAGGTATCACACACTGCTAGCTTCTCTGTTTAGATTCGTTCACCTGTTGGTTTAGACAATATTAATATTATATCGATGTGAAGTTGTGGAATGAGAATAGGAGTGGTTTTCCTGAATCCCATCATGCTGTTAGGTGTGTTCTTTGTATGAAAAGCATACAGTTACGAAGAAGAAAATACATTCAAGGCATTGTACTTCAAAGTACTTCTAATGCTTGTATTATGATGGCATGGTCATGTTTACATTTAATAATACAGACACTAACAAGCTCAGCACGGAATCAGATCAAATCTCTACATTATTATGCATCTGTACAAATATTAAAAATGATTAAATTATTAAAAATCCATAAAAAGCTTCTTTTTTGTTTTGTTAAAGTCAGAATTGATAATACAATTATAATTTCTTCCCCTTTTCTTCTTAATATTTATTTGTCTAATATCTTGGTGTGCTGGTGTTGTGACTGAAACTCGAGCTCGCCCCCTTGTGTCTGTCTAGTTTTAGCAGGCATGCAAAACCAACATTGACCTGTTTATCTGTTCATTCATTGTCTCTGCGTAAATACGAGGGACCATACACGTGTGACACATTCGGTCACACACTGGAGCACACTGTTCTACCCCACCCTTCCCTCACTCACTCACTCACTCACTGAGCTCTCCTCACTCTCATCTACTTCCTGTTCCCTCCACCTCTCTGTGGTCCACCCTCGCCCTCCTGTCCTGCCCCATTCCCTCATCTAACAGCCTACCCTGGACGAACATTAAGTGACTCAGCCACAGGTGGGTGGGTGTGTGGGTGTGGCGGACTTACCTGAGCATGGCACTGCCTGAAGAGCTCAGCCTCACCTCTCTTTTCCTCCCCCCGCTTCATTTGTCCCCATTGTTACTGCATAACTCTGTCTGGGTCAGAAATATCCAGCATGCTTCACCTTGACTGCCAGCAGGTGGGAAAGACCCCAGAAAAATCTGAACCATTCTGAACTTTAATTGATGAAAAGGGAAGAAATGTAATGGTTTTATATCAATATTAATGACAAATGAGGTTCTACTGTCCAGAGGTTATATAAAGGTTAATACGAGGTGCTGTGCATGTGCAGCTGTGGCTTTATTAAAGGAATCAAATTCAGCGTTTGGCTTGAAGAAGATAGAAGAAGCGTATCTTCTGCTTTGACATTATTTTTTGATCTTCAGCTTCTGCTATTGAAAACAGCTGAGGCTTCTGTCCGTCATTGTTTTGCTAATATACAAGCCTAACAGCTTAACTGCTTTTGATTTTCACTTCAAATCGGAAGTGAGTTTGGTGTGCACCTTCAGATTAAAAGAACAATTCATCCCAAAATATGAAACAAATCTCAAAATACCAACCGACTATTTTCCCTGTTTAAAATCTCAGCATCGCTTGTCAGATAAAAAATTTGGGATGAATTTTAAGTAAACTACAAAAAAAGACCCCATTAAAACATTTTTCCCAGGTTGACAATGTCGTCTCTGTTTTTGTGACAGATGGAGAGATTACCTCCAAACCTATGGTGCTCTTCTTGGGACCCTGGAGTGTTGGCAAGTCCTCCATGATCAATTACCTCCTGGGCTTGAGTGACAGCCCGTATCAGCTCTATACAGGTTTGTTACACGCTTACACTTTTCTTTGTATTCTTCCTGCTTCCTTGCTGGAGGTCAACCCTCATATGGGGTCCCACATTTTAGTATGCATAAAATGTGTGCTGGCTTCATCCTATGGCCATTTGTGTGGAGTTTGTGAACGCAGCTTTTTTTTCTTTTTTACCTTGGTGTTCCAGCATTCTCTTCCCCAAAAAATCACAATCCAGAGATAATGAATTACATTAGAGGCAAGTTAGGAAATGAGGACATGAAAATAGCTGAAAAGGCTGTGTAGCAGGTTAGGGCGATAAAGAGCAGTGCTTGAAATACCCTTAAATGCCTTTCACCTAACCGGTAAAAACTATACATTTTATCCTAATATTTCACGTCAGACCAGTTCTTCTAATGTCTCTGTTTTTGTTGATTTTCCAGGAGCTGAACCCACTACCTCAGAGTTCACTGTTATTATGCACGGTGAGAAGATCCGCTCTGTTGAGGGTATAGTTATGGCTGCTGACAGCTCCCGCTCTTTCTCACCCCTGGAGAAGTTTGGTCAAAACTTCCTTGAGAAGCTGATTGGTATTGAGATGCCCCACAAGCTGCTGGAGCGTGTAACCTTTGTGGACACGCCAGGAATTATCGAGAACAGAAAGCAGCAAGAGAGAGGTGAAGCCAAAACTTGTGACATTCCATTTCCACATATACTGTAGTTATGATCTGCTATTGATTGGTAACAGTTACGGTATTTTGCTATTTCCTTTTCCACAGGCTATCCTTTCAATGATGTTTGCCAGTGGTTCATTGACCGTGCTGACCTGATCTTTGTGGTGTTCGACCCCACCAAGCTGGACGTTGGTCTGGAGCTGGAGATGCTCTTCCGTCAGTTGAAGGGTCGTGAGTCCCAGATCCGCATCATCCTGAATAAGGCCGACAACCTGGCCACCCAGGACTTGATGAGAGTCTATGGAGCTCTCTTCTGGAGCTTGGCTCCCCTCATCAACGTGACCGAACCCCCTCGTGTCTACGTCAGCTCTTTTTGGCCCTATGATTACGCACCTGACACCAGTCGCGACCTTTTCAAGAAAGAGGAAATCTCCCTTCTGGAAGATTTGAACCAAGTGATTGAGAACCGCATGGAGAACAAGATTGCCTTCATCCGCCAGCATGGTATCCGTGTGCGTATCCACGCCTTGCTGGTCGACCGCTATGTCCAAACATTCAAAGAGAAGATGAGCTTCTTCAGCGACCCTGAGCTGGTCTTTAAGGAGATTGTGGACGACCCAGACAAGTTTTACATTTTCAAATCCATTTTGGCCAAGACCAACGTCAGCAAGTTTGACCTGCCCAACCGCGATGCTTATCGTGACTTCTTTGGCATTAACCAAATCACCAGCTTCAAACCCCTGTCAGCTCAGTGCTCCTACATAGGAGGCTGTCTGCTTGATAAGATTGAGAAAGCCATCACCAATGAACTGCCTGCTCTTCTGAGCAGCATTAACTCTGGCAAACAGCCTGGCCTGTCCTCCTGTGAGGCCACCGGCTGTGGTGAAAAGCCAAAGAATCGTTACCGAAAGAACTGAGGAACACAAAATAACTTAAATGGGGAATGGAGCGTAAGGGAGTGAAGTGAAACGAAGCAATCTAGTGGAAGCTAAACCTAGATTTGTTAGAATGTTGAGGAGACGGAGGAGAAAGAGTTAGTGTTTGTTCTTTTATTTTTTTCCTCAGGAGAATAAGGGGAGGTGCACTGGAGACCTGTGGGAGGAAGCAGTAATTGGGAGGGAGGAGTTTTGTTTGATAAGGCAGCTTACGGACCCAAGTGCAGAAGAAATGATGACAGAATTTGCTGAAACATACGCCCTCTTCTCTCCCTTGCACAAACACGTTGGACTGTCTGATGGTTTGAGGTTGTGATGTAAAGGAAAAAAAAGAAATTATATGACAAAATTGAATAAAAATTGAAAATCCTGAGACTTAAAAAAAAATCAAATACCAGCTGCATTTTATGTGAATAAAATTAATTTGTGGAAACTGAAGTTTCAAATCTATGTTCTACAAACCTTTGATTTGCATTGCATAAGATGAATTCCATATTCTTCAGGAGCTTATTTTAAAGTTGTCGTTTTGGGTGCTATACAAAGCTGTTGTGTTCGGGTGTTTATCCAAACTTGTGACAAAGAAAAGCATTAGTGGTGCATGTTAGATGTTACACCTTTTTTTTTTTTTTTTTACACATAATGCATGAATTTCCCCTTAAACATCAAAAAGATTTTCCTCATAATGGTGACACAGTCCAATGGTGCAACAATGAGGCCTTTGCTTGACTTTAGTTTTATTTGCTCATCAGTTGTGGTTGTTGACGACCTGTGAAATGAGCACCGTGCTGGAGGAAGAGGTCATGGTTCAAGGGCCGAAGTCTTCAAAGACGCATGGATGAATTAGATTCACTTTCTTCCTTGATACTAGGAATAGTCTCCTCTGTCACTAATCATTGTGTTTTTGATTCTTTTACAGTGCAGTTTTCCATATTACCGTTCAATGTGAACACTGTTTCAGGCCACGTGTCTGCTGCAAAAACTTTCCCAGTTTGACTAAGAAAGAGACACATTCTGGGTGTAACTTTAATGTGTAAGGTGATATTACTCTGCCTCAGCGTGACAACATGGCATATAAAAACTTCTTTGTTGAATTTATTAGTCAAGAAATGTCTGGTACAGCTAGATTTATCCTATTGGATCCTGCTGCAATGGATGTTGGGACGGAAAAGACTCACGCGTTATCCTCTGACCTCCAGAAAATAAAAATCCCTAAATACTGTCCCCTGAGTCACTAGCACTGCAGTACAAGACATTTGCTCCCCAGGCTAGCTGCCACCAAAGTCTGTTGTGGGGGGGCAAAGGGCTGACCCCCCCAGTCCGACGACAGACACAAGTATATGTGTTTTTACCCTTTAATTTGTCACCCTCCGAAAGTTTGCGTAAGAATTTGTTACTGTCTAATTGGTTCTAGCTGGTTTTTCAAATTGTGTACTGTAGTGTGTGATCCTCTTAGTTTTAGTGATTAGTATGAGTGAGTGTGTAACCCTTAGCCTTTCAGTCAACATACAGTAAATGTGTCTGTGAGCGCACAGCCCAAACTTTAGCTTCATTTATATAAACCTACCTCAGAAAACCTCCCAGTATTATGCTTAGGATAATTAAACTACTAACTAACTACTAACTAAATTAAACTGCCTGAAACATATTTTTACATGGTACCGATCCATCTGAAAGCAAACAGGACAAGATGTGTTCATTTGGGAGAGACACCCAGGCTAACTGTGTGACTGTTTTAAGAATTCATGCTAAGCTTAACCCACCACGTGCTGGGTCCAGCTATATCTGTAAAACTATATTTATATTTAAACAGATGGCAAAAGATCTCAACTAGAATAGCCTGTTAGTAAAATGACAAAAAAGGGTGTCTGAAAATAGTCAACTGCGACGCAAAAAGATTCAGCCTCGGTCAGCACCTTCTATTTATGCATAGTTTCCCCCAGCTCCAAGTGCTTTTTCAGCTAAAATATAAACTGAGAAAATATAAGCAATATATTTTTACCTAATGTTTTCACCACAGGATGTTTACGCTGCAGTTTCAAAACATACCCACAAGAGGGCACTGTATAAAAGTGTAACAAGTTTGAAAAACTTTCACTGCGTGTTGCAACCATTATCTGTGGGGCGAGTCAAAGTCGCGTGCCTGTGTTTTTGGTTTATTTCAGTGAAAAAAATCTTAATTTTCCTGTCAGTAAGTTATGGACTGGATGTGTGTCCCAGTAGAATGCCTGTTATTTTGTGGTACAAAGTTGAATTAATCTAATCTTCACCTATTTTTGAAAGTTTGACCATGAAGAATAAAGATTTGTGACTAACCAGGGAACAACAAACTGGTGTTTTTTCCCTGGAAAAAGTACTCATATGACTCATATGCATTTCTTTAAACATTTTTTCGTTCTGTAAAAGTTCAAGTTTCTGACCTCCAGGCTGAAGCGATTTGCGTTAGTTTGTTGTGAAGCATGTATGTGTGAGAGAGGTCATTGGTTTTAATATGTTTCCACACACCATCGACATACACGCACTCAAGGTAATGAGAATAACTGACAATTCACAGATATTGTACACAAAGGAATTTAGTTTGGACGGAAAAACAAAGGAATGAGCGAACCAGAGGAACAGATGAACAGGTTAGTTTTAAAAAACAACATTATTTTGTAAACCTAGTGAGAACTTTACACTTAGGCAATTTCATCATTTAAGGACAGGAAGGTATGTAGCAATGGTTGTCGAAAATAACGTCCTCGCCCTTACCGCAAACACTGTTTTTCCCTCTCTGCTCAAATACGTGCCTGTGCCTCTACACACCCCTCCCATCAATGTGCTACCTTTACCTATTTTTTTCCTCGCCCTATAAGAAAAAACAGAACAAACTATCATTAACTTTGTTCCGTTAGTTTAATTTGAGACTCAAGGGGGCGCAAAAGCCATGGAGACACAAACGCAGGACGCGTCTGATCCATAAAGTCAAGATTATTATCCATTGAAAAGGACAAAAAATAATTTCTTATATTATTTTTATTATAAAAACCTTTTATTCATTCAGTGTGATTAAAGTTGTATTACAACAGACCTTCATTAGTACAAATCACACTTTATCGACTGTCCCTTGTGACACTAACAACATACTTTCAGTCAACTTATTTTTGTTTGAGTTAGATTGTGTTGTCCTTTTCTCATATATACAATCTAAACGCCATAAATCTAGTTAAATCGATAGACGATTAATCGATTATCATTACTTACAACCTTAGTAATAATAATTCGTCAGTGGCAGCCTGTGGATGTTGGTACAGTGAGACAGAGACATGGGACTTTTATTTTGAAAGAAAACCAACGGAAATTATTTCCACACCGCGCAGTCACACGCAAGCGTTCGAGTACGCGCTTTCCTCGCTGCCGGACGGCGCAGAGAAAGAGAAAATGAGTGAGAGAGCGAGAAAGAGAGAGAGTGTGAACCTTAGAGAGTAAGAGAGAGAGAGAGAGAGAGAGAAGATGGTGGCTGCCGCGGACACGGTGCTGCTCGCCGCGGCTGGCTGACGGCGCACACGGCTGTTGCGTACCGCCGTGGACGCGCAGCTGATGGTCAGATAAAGGAGGGAAGACTAACAACCTGTCTCAGTGTGGACGTCGCGGAAGGACGGGGAGAGTGGACAAAGCAGCAGCAGCAGCAGTAGTGAGCCACCAGATTAATTTTGGATTAAAAAGCGGGCAGGTGTTTGTGAGTGTGTATGGTGACATGGAGCTGGTCCCCAGAGCATCACAGGAAAATTAATTAAAGTGCTCGGGTCTCTGTAGGAGCACTCTGTTGTGGTGAGTGTGTGTTTGTGGGAGACTGGCGGGATTGTGGTCATGGGGGGCGTGGAGCGGGGGTGGAGACCGTTTAATTAACCCGACTCGGTGGGTTTTCGTCATCTGCCGTGTATCCAGAGGAGGACCGAGCTGCAGTGGACAAACTTTACTTTCCTCACAACCAGGGACTCTGATTGGACTGTAGTCCCCATGATGACACCAAGACCCCCCCGTGACGCGTAATTCGCCCTCAGTGGACGACCTGGACGTTTTCGTGCAGAGCACCGTGACAATGAATTTGCGATATTTGGTGTGTGTGTGTGTGTGTGTGTGTGTGTGTGTGTGTGTGTGTGTGTGTGTGTGTGTGTGTGTGTGTGTGTGTGTGTGTGTGTGTGTGTGTGTGTTTGGAGAGACACCAGAGCAATAGTGACGCGACTCTGAGCCAAACATGACTGATACGTTGCCTTGAAGGAGCCACTCAGCACGGCTCGGTGCAGCCATAAACAGTGGGGTGTATTTTTGCGCACCACCTCTCCCTCCTGCAGACTCTGCGTCTGGAGACGCAGCCACAGAGGAGTCTCCGGAGGGTGAAGCCAGGAAAGGACGGGGCTGCGTCCACGGGGAGTGTTGTGATCAGGCCCCGCAGCGAGTGCAGAAATGAAGGCTGTCTCTCTCTAACTCCTGGTCCCGTTATCTGGAGCTGGACCTGCGTCTTCGTAGGAAAAAGTTGTCTCCCTTTCGTCCAGAACAGCCAACAGTGGATGTTTGCCTGTGTTCAACACAGTCTATGTAAATGGACTAGAGACTAATGCACTCATGCAAACAGGAAACCAAAAAGGCACTTTATTTGTATTGATCACTGCTGCCCTTTATTGACTTTTCCAGCTTTTTCTTCTCACCTTTGATTTTTTTTTTCTATGCTTGAGTTTATTTGCACATTTCTATTCTATGCCATGACTAAGACATTGTGCCAGCGCCTGAGTGGACCTGGACTGGAGCAAAGGTGGCAGCAACTCAGCCAGTGAACCTAACAAGTCTCTGGTGTGTCAAAACAAACTGGAATGGTGAGGAATGCAGAGACTGACGTCCAAGAACTTTGGGAAGTCTGCTGTTGTTTATGTTGCCACCACACTACTAACTTCTTTTGTCTGTGCCGTTATTCAAACCAGCTCTTTCTGTGAGATTTTCCTATAAGTAACAAAAATCCCTGACGCACATTTTGATTTTATAGACTGAAAACCAACATGGCGTCTCCCCAACATCAACAACTGCTGCCTCACAACACAGAAGTCAGCTGTGACTCAAGTGGAGACGGAGGCGTCTCGGTGAGGATTGGCAGCAACGTCAAACACAAGCACGGAGGCGGCAGCGGCCCACTCGGGTCGATCGGGGGAGGCTTCATAGGGGCGTCCAAGCGCTGCAAATACAGCATCTCCTCCAGCTGCAGCTCTGGGGAGTCTGGAGTCAGGAAGCCAAACATCAGGAGCTTTCGCTCCAACAAGAAGATGCCTCAGCTGTTTGAGAGATCTGCGGGTCATTTCTGGGATCCCAAGTTTGACTCTTCCATCCTGGAGGAGGCGTGCAGAGAACGCTGTTTCCCACAGACCCAGCGGCGGTTCCGCTATGTGGTCTTTTATCTGATTGTCGCTGCCTTCCTCTGGGGAGTGTACTTTGTTGCCAACCCCTCCCGCTGTAACAGAACTGCCTTTCTCCCTCCTATTGCTTTTTTTCTCCTTTTCTGCCTCGTCCTTTTTCTCTTAACTTTTACTAATTTCTACTCACGTTTCTACAACCAAGCATCTCTGTTACTTATTATCATTACCTTTATCCTCACCCTGGCCCCTCAAATACAGACATCAGGCTTCAGGGACCCAGATCTTCCCACAGCTCCTGATGATGATGAGTTCAGTGGCATGGGGCCCATGTACAACCTGTCCAATGACAAGGTGATAGGAGTTGACCCCTGGTCCCCTTGTCTCTCTCCTGTAGGCACCTTCTCTCTCTGTATTGAAGTCCTCCTGTTGTTGTACAGTGTTCTCCATGTTCGCCTCTTTGCCTCTGTCCTTCTTGGCTTTCTTTACTCTGTACTTTTTGAGAGTCTGGGCTGGCTGCACTTGACCCAGGCGGGTAAGAACTGGACCGTAGAGTCTGAATCAGACTGGGACACGCTGAGTTGGCTCGGCCCTGCGAAAGCCTTGCTTCACCTCTGCGCCCACGCCATCGGCATCCACCTTTTCATCATGTCAGAGGTGCGGTCACGGAGTACCTTCCTCAAAGTGGGACAGGCCATAATGCATGGCAAGGATTTGGAGGTGGAGAAAGCCCTGAAGGAGAGGATGATCCACTCTGTCATGCCCAGAATTGTTGCTGATGAACTGATGAAGCAGGGTGATGAAGAGATAGGGGATAATTCTGTCAAACGATACTCAACCAGCGGTGCAGCAGCTGCTATCGCCAGTCCTAAGAACCACAAACGCAAGAAAACCTCCATCCCTCGAGGCCAGATAATCTTCAGACCCTTCAACATGAAAAGAATGGAGCCTGTCAGCATCCTCTTCGCAGACATCGTTGGCTTTACTAAGATGTCTGCTAACAAATCTGCTCACGCTCTGGTGGGGCTCCTGAATGACTTGTTTGGACGTTTTGACAGACTTTGTGAGCACACAGGCTGTGAAAAGATTAGTACACTGGGAGACTGTTACTACTGTGTGGCCGGTTGTCCTGAGCCCAGAACAGATCACGCGTATTGCTGTGTGGAAATGGGCCTGGGCATGATCCAAGCTATTGAACAGTTTTGCGAGGAGAAAAGAGAGATGGTCAACATGAGGGTGGGTGTCCACACTGGCACCGTGCTGTGTGGTATCCTGGGCATGAAGCGCTTCAAGTTTGACGTCTGGTCAAATGATGTGAATCTGGCCAACCTGATGGAGCAGCTGGGAGTGGCCGGGAAGGTCCACTTATCACAGGCCACCGCCAATTTCCTGGACGATCGTTACCAGCAGGAAGAGGGACAGGTCACTGAGAGGATAGGACAGAGTGTGGTGGCTGACCAACTCAGAGGTAGGTGTTCACACTGATCCCCCTGTCAGTATGACACATGCACATACGCAGTGAGATCCACTTCAACTGGTCTGTTGGATTAGTGTTGTCCTTTTTGCATTCATACAAGTAAAGAAGAATAAATATTTTTGCATTAATAGATGGCGCTATGTTTCTCCTCCTAAAGGAAACATATGATCTTAATAACTAATTTATTAACCCTATCATGTCATCCGCCTTCTTGCATGCAAAAAAAATCCTCCACCAAAGAGTCACATGGATGTCTCTGAATTCAATATTAAGACGAATGTCAGTTTTTAAAAACTGTAATTCAATATTAAGACGAATGTCAGTTTATAAAAACTGGTGTCTAACTGTGTCTAACTGTAAGGATGACACTCACATTCATGTGCTGAGTCACGAGATAAGTAGATATTCCTGTTTATGTTTTTTGGTGTGTTTACACTGGATAATGCTGAGTAGCCTGCAGTACTGGTGCTGTAGTTTTCATTTATTTCTGCTTTAAATCTTCTACAGTGTACTACGGTGTCTTGTCTATATTATAGTCTAGTCTATTTATTATTCTAGTCTGGTGTTTACTTACTGCTATGTGGGTCCTTGAAATTTTAATTTCACTTCATTTCATGTTTAGCATATTTAGTCTGATCCTTGAATCGAGGCTAGTTCATATTTGTAGCTTCTTCTTCTTCTATTCACTTTACCTTTTTACTTAAGGTTATTATAAAGTTAATCAGCAAACTGTGGTGGTGATCATTGAAGTCCTATGTGTTCCCTGCCTGTATCTATAGAACTCAGTGAACAGTGAGCATTTATCACTCTGTGTTAACTTCAAGAAATCCCATTTAGTTCAAATTCACTCTTTGTCAGATGACAACATTAATTGTAGTTATGTCTGAATCCATGTAAACACACTTCATGTCATTTCACACCTCACAGACTTGTGCTGGTTTAAAGGCTACAGTGTCTTGTTTTAATTCCTAACTAGAATAATAATCCTCCAAGGTCACTAGCACTTGGACGCAACTGTGAGACTTATCACTGTCATAATGTCCCCGTCGGCCTCTCTCGCCAACTTTGCCGTTTTTATGTTCTTCGCTTTATGCCTTGCGTGATACCTCGACGCCTTCTCCACCAGAACACACTACTCAGGCATAATACCAGCAGTTGACACCCCCCCTCCCTGCATCACTAGCAGCCCCTGAGTGCGGGGGAACTTTTTCACAGCCAAGGTCGTTGCAGAGTTTTATCATTGTGTTGCACCCAGCAGAGACGGGCTGTGGTGTTGGTATTATCTGATTGTATCACTGGCCTTCGCCATCTTCTTTCTCATTTCCCCCACTGCACAGTCACTGCCCACTGTGTTCTCTTGTTGAATTACATCGTCTTCCAGACGTCCTCGGTGTGTCCTGTTCTGTTCTGTTAACCTCGCCTTGAACTCCAGGGGTTGTTTTACAACTTAATGCAGCTGCGGCCTCTTCCCTAATAGAGGTTTGTCTGAGGTTTATTTATTTCACCTCTCCATCTCGTCGCCAGCTTTCCTCGTCACTCTGATGCATTAATGCTGGACTTGAATCAATTTATTTGTAGAAGTCACTGCAGTAAAACTAAATATTTGTTCAGCGGCTGATGCCTGATTCTGAGCTTAATAAACGTGCATAAACGTTACTAAAAGCTGTGAATTTTTGTTTTTTCTTTTGTAGAAGCTGAATAAGTGTAGAACAGCTGTATGACCTGTGTTGGTGTTTGGTGGCACTGTCGAATAGACGACAGGCTGAAATGTAGATGCTGAGATTTTCACCGGGAGTGACCAGATTGGACAGGATTAGAAGTGACATCTGAGGGGCAGTTAAGGTGGAGCAGTTTCTAGCTAAAGTTAGAGAGGTGAGAAATAGTGGATAAATGGGACAAAAAATTAATATTAAGTTGCTAAGCAAGAGCAGAAAAAGGAAAAGCTCAGAGAAGATTTGTGGATATCCTGAAACAGGACATGGAGATGGTTGTTGTAAAAGCACAGGAAGAGGGAGGATGTACCGTGGGGACCTCTGATGGGAGCAGCCAGAAAAAGAGGCTGAAACTGAGTGCATTTCTTTAAAAGTTGCATTTTTCCATTTCATTCTGAATATTTAAAAATATAAGCTGTCAGTTTTTGCAAAATGTGCAAATTGCCAATGTGTAAATATCAATAGTCTGTTCACATCAAATGCTTTTGATGTTTTAAAAGGCATAGACTAGTTAACAAAAAAGACCTAATCATTTTTATCATGATGTGATTTATGGACCTGCATTTTCCTCTCATCGTTTGATTTATGACTGCAGCTCGTACTTTTGTGTGTGGTGGATAAATGTGTTACTCAGAGGGTTATCACCTCTCCTCCTCCACCACTTCTTTCCTGCCTCTATCATATATTCAGGTCCCTTGCTGAGATTTATCCCCTCCTTGTAGATTAGCTGCGCCAAAGAGAGAGAGAGAGAGAGAGAGAGAGAGAGCGGGAGGAGGGGAGAGAAAAAGAGAGAGGGAGAGAGATGGCTGCCAGTAAAGAGTTGTTCTCCACCACTGTTTAGCTCAGCCTGTGTAAATCACTGGGGCAGAATCGCAGCAGGTACGAGTACTGGCCAGCAGTGGTGTCTGAATCTTGGCAAAGACTTGATGATGTTCGATCTACAAGTTCAACACTGTGTGCTTAAAAAGTCATTTTAATGTTTCTTTTTCCCACTGTCAATGTCATTTTAACACTTCTGCTCTATAGGTCACTGTGAGTTTTCACATACAGGTGCTCACAGTTGTCCGTCATTCACCTACATTTATAGAACTTCACTGTCTACTCATGACTCACGGTGGCCAAAGTTCACAGTGGGTGTCCCCACTGTGGTCAGCATCTCCGTGTGACATCTGCATCCTGTCAACTTCCTCTGCGCTGACGTAAGACCTGTGGGCTTATTGACAGACACTTGATTGTCAAAACCCTGTGTTCCGATGGTTTTTAAAAATCGGATTTTGGACATTATCTGAATGGGAAACCCCCTAAAGAATTCTTTTTAAAATACATTCTTATGAAGAAAGATTACAGTAGATAATGTCTGATGGATAGAGTGTCTACACCCAGGTTATGTTTGTCTTTACCTCATGTGATGATAAGCTGCTGTTTTTTTTTTACTGAACAAAACGTGGTTGTTACCCAATGATGATGAATCACGTTTCAACATAGTCAGAATATACAGTCATGGGGAAGTGAAATGTTCAAGTTTAATAAGTCTAAACACTTCAACAAGTGTTGTTCCCCAGAGATAATTCCTCCGTTGTAGAAGTTCTGTGGATTTCTTCTTTCTTTCAGTTTTGGGAGAAGACAAATCCTTTAATACATTTTTAACAGCTGTAATTTCCTGTTTGATTCCAAACATTATGTTTACTCTGATTATGGGATCATTTCATTTTTCAAATGGTCTGGAGAGATGGGTTTTATCGTGTCTTGGTTATTAAAACCAGAAACCTCTTTCTTAGAACTTGTCGAGTTCCTGTAGTAAAATATAGATGTTCTACCAGGTCTCTAAACATTCTTAGTTTCCTCAAAAAGATCATCATGGTGAGAAAAGAGTGATGTCACTGTCTGGCTGAAATGATCTGAAGGTCAGTTTGTTTCAATATTACATTTCTGAATATTTGCTGAGGACAGTCACCACTGACCTCTAGAATAAAACTAACGGACGTCTGTCAGGATTCTCTGCATGATGATCCCATCATCCATCATCTAGTCTCTGTATTCTGGTTGGTTAAAAATTTACCACAAATGTGTGAATACATCTCAGTGCTGTTCAAAAACGTTTTCTGAAACACTTGTACAGAATCACGGATGTGCCACAGCTGCTGCAGACATCCCTGAGGCACTCCCTGACCACAGCTGACTGTGACAACCTTCAGCAGAGTGGTAAACAGAAAACTCTGGGAAATAAAAGTGGCTGGAGATATTTCCAGATTTTGCATTTGCAGCTGGAGGCCAGGTTGGGGAACGTAGTCAATAATTTAAATGTCTAATCATTTCCCCAGGAGTTGATGTAGATTAGAAAACAGAACGGAAAGACAGTGAATATTTAACAGCACTTTCCTTTGTTTATTATGCAACTTGCTTTTTTTCTGTGGAGCTGTTGAGGGAAAACCCATGTGGAATAAATTAAGCAAAAGACAAATAATTTGAATGACCAACAATAGTTCTACTTTGTTTATTAAAATCTATGAAGTGAAAAATCTTTAAATCTATTTCCTAAGGTATTACAGACAGACCTGGTCGCAGGTGTACTGTTTCACCTGTGGTTCAGTGTGTCTGGAGGCAATGCATGTTCTCAGATTAGGTTTGAAATCGTAGTAGTTTGACCTTTTCTAACTTATCTGCTGAGCTCAACACTTCTGGGCAGCTCTGTACAGTTTATCCCTCCCTGCCCTGCACTCTCTTCTTTGGCCCTGTGGGAAATTTTTAATTAGGCAGGTCTTGGTAATCTCCCTGGCTAAAGTGATTCCGTAATTCTCCATCATCATGTCTTCTCACATTGGCCTGCTGTTTTTCTGACCCCCCCCGAATCAAAAATCAACATCTCTTTCTGGCCCACGGCTTTTTATTTCTGCAAATCATATTGATAGTCTATAATGAGGTTGTCCTGCTAGTGTTTATTTATGATGCGGTAACAAAAGAAAATGTCCCGTCGAGTCGATATCGAAGACGAGATGAGTCAAGTTCAAGTTTTTGCGCTGGCTGCGCAACGACAGATAATTTGTATTCTGATCCATTATATTAATTTGTCCACATTCTTTGCCCACGTTAAAGCCTTCACAATAGTAATTGATTAGCTACATTAGGATTGATTTGAGCACTGTGTAGAACCTGGCTGCAAATAGTCACAGTGATAAATGTTCAGTGGTCCCCACTCTGGCCCTATTACTCCATGCTCCACAGAACATATTAGTTATTGGCAAAGCTATTTGTCCTTTACGTGCGCACACACCCACACAC